CCACGACCCAAAGACCAACAAGGGCTATCACCGCTACCACTGGTGTAGCACCGAAAGTAACTATCAGCCGAAATTAACTGAAGAAAAACAACAAGCAAGCTTCTGAAATAGGCCAGGATATCCGGCTATTTCAGAAGTTCTCATATAAAAAATCGGATAGGAGTGGAATTGACCAAATGCTCAGTTCTGAAACTTATGCAATATTAAAAGAAGACGGTTTATGCAAACTTATGGTTTGAACTTAATTAACAAACAAAAATTCCAAAAAAAAAAACCCAAAATCAGTAATGAACGAGTACCCAAGTAATAAAACCTTCAAAATGAGCAAGAAAACTCGATCCTACTAAACATCCCAGAAAGCTACACGATCTCGATGTGGAAAAACAACTTACACACCCCTAATTTTTGGAATTAAAAAGCAATTGCAGCATCAGATTCTACTCAAATTATGAATATATAAAGCACAAAAAGCAGAATAAAATGGAAATGGGTGTTACCCGGGGGGGTTAATACCTGCTAGCGGTTCGTGGGTGGAGAAGAAAATTCGGGGGGTCTAAGAAAAGCAGTGAATTCGGGGATCTAAGAAAAGCGCCGATTTCAATTTGAGCTACTGTAACNGGGGGGGGGGGGTTAATACCTGCTAGCGGTTCGTGGGTAGAGAAGAAAATTCGGGGGATCTAAGAAAAGCAGTGAATTCGGGGGATCTAAGAAAAGCTTAATCATAAAATAAAAAGTTTAAATTAAAGTTGCAAATAAAAAAGGATGTCTTTTCTTTTTTAAACAAATAAGAACATATAAGATCGAAACAGACGGAATAACAAATACAAAGTATGACCTCAATCTAATGGATCCGAATACTGAATTCTATCCAATCTTAGTCGTACAACCAGAATCCTATAAACTTATTACCAGCTGCACCTAAAATTCCAATAGATCGAAAATGGCAAATAACATCGGAATCTGAACGGAGTCATTAGTCACCTCACAGAACGTTTTGTATGTAAGCATGTGGAATCAATCATATTTATTGATCCAAAGAGAAGGAAGAAAGATTTTGACTCCTAACTGTTGGAAAGACAGTAAAGATGTCCTGGTAAACATCAAACATTCAACTCAACTTCAGGGCTCAAAGGTTCAAAGAGAGCTTCCACTTCATTGAGGTTCACTTCCTCCAAGCTGGAAGGATTCCATCTTGGGTTCTGCAGAAAGCAAACTTATTAAAGGTTTTACTTCTAAAAGACTACAAAATCTTCACTCATAACCCTACAATAGACTGTCTAACATGACAACTGATTTCCATCATCAGAAAGGAAAAAGTACATAAGGTACTCTCATCAAGGCTTAAAAGAAGATGACTCTTCATCTCTTCCTTAAATTAGTTAACAGAATATCCTCTCACAAAATGCACCACCAGGATTGAGAAACAATCAAATATTAACACATTTAACTGTCATGGGCTTGCAAAACTAGAAACGAACCTGATCCTTGTCCACTAAGATAGCACGGACACCTTCTGCAAAATCATTGCGTAGAGCAGACCTTATAGCAATGCGATATTCAGTTCTCATAACACCAGGGAGCTGCATGTTGGGAATGGTAGAAAGAAGTAGGAAAGCTTAAAGATCTATCCGAAGTGAAGGAATCATGAATTTTTCCAGAAAGAAGAAAAATACTGTAGTTTTTTTTTTAAAAAAAGCACAACGTGAGGGAAGTTAACCTTGGACAAGGTATTCTCATTTTTGCCACATGCAGATGCAACTCTGGAAAAGTACTGCTGGGTGAGGCAAAGAGAAAAGGGAGCGCCCTTTCTTAGCCCTTGCAGAGCATCCTTAGCCCATTCTGCCACTGCCAAGGAGATGAACTAACAAATGAAAAAGAAAACAAGCGTACCCCACAAGTGTTTATTGATTTGCGCATGTATAAATTGGAAAGCGTATCTGATTCATTTACGGATGAAAAGCCAAGTGAACAATCATACCCAAAGTATCCGCACTTTGCTGATGATTTTCAAGCTCCTCTATTATATTTTTAACAGACTTATTACCACCAAATGTTGAAATGATTCTGGGTAAAAGAGACTTCAAACGGGATTCTGAATCAGGGTCAGTACTGTATTTTTCCAGAAGTGTTTTGATCTCTTCGTCCGGATCCTGAGAGCTATTTCGAAATAAATAAGTCATAAAACATCTGTAAACTTCAAACATACCACTGAAATTTCTTGTACCAATAACACAATAAAAAGTATTTATCCGAAGGATAAGGATCAATAATCTGAAGCATTTGCAATAGGACACCAAATGTGACTCATGAAGTAACAACCACTAGAGACTTAAAATAGTTCCCACTAACACAGGGACAAAGAACTATACCCAATTTGTGGAATCTTTTCAAGAAAAATTGTTGAAAGATCAAAGTGACAACTCAAGAGAGATGCATGAAATGACAAAATCTTTTTATACATGGTATTCCCCCGCCCCGCAAAGAAAACCCCTCTACCTAGGAGCGCAACAGTGATGTTCCTAATTAACTCCCTTGGTNGGACAAAAAACTATACCCAATTTGTGGAATCTTTTCAAGAAAAATTGTTGAAAGATCAAAGTGACAACTCAAGAGAGATGCATGAAATGACAAAATCTTTTTATACATGGTATTCCCCCGCCCCGCAAAGAAAACCCCTCTACCTAGGAGCGCAACAGTGATGTTCCTAATTAACTCCCTTGGTAACTCAAACCATTAAACTCGTTGTTGGGGGTGGAGGGCCCTTTCCGCTAGGCTATCCCTCCCTAATCATGATAAGCAAAATTTTAACATACATGTAACAATTAAGTGCAAAATCATCATCAAATTCCATCGGCATAAATAAGATGAAAAGACTAAAGGCCAAGGATCTGCACATGTCACATAGCTCTGAAAAGTTGATTAAAGTTTGACAGTTGGTGCTTCCATGTTCATATTATAAGAGAACATAGATTAAGTTCATTAGGAAATGTTAAGACATACAAGGTAGCCGCCAAGAAAGCCTCTTTCAATGTATCCAAATTTGCAGAAGGAACATAATGACTTCCCAAACCAACATACAGTGCATCAGCAGGTGTAGATATCCTACTTCCAGTCAGTCCAAGATAAGCACCTGCAGTAAATAAATTAAACGAACGAATAAGGAAAGAGCATGGGCAGAAAAAACTTGTGGGATAATAGACACATATATAATAGTTCTCACCATCTCAATCTGACAACCACCCACACAATATAGGCGAAAATGAGATAGGAGGTTCTCACTTGAAATATTTTTCTTTTTACTAGAGTAAAAAAAACAAAGGTTTTAATGACTTACAATGAAAAGGAAAAGATTATTAGGACACTGATGCAGAAACAAATTCACCTGACATATGACCCTTCTCCAAAATAAAATAACATTGATGTGCACCACATATGAATTTGAATTTAATTATCATTGCTTCCTCCATTTCAAAGAGGTTTCCATCTTGTTCAACATCAAGCTTTGACCACAACTTGGATGATCAAAAGATTATCATTTGTGTATGACCAAGGATGGACTTCACCAGCAATTGAACAAATGATGCATTATGGTTGTCTTTGAAGCAGAGAACTTAAAAGAGTCAACAATAACATACACCTTTCACAGTCCTTAGATCATATGAAATTTGAATATAAGCATCCACACCTGGTAACTTCTAAAGGAAGAGCCGTATTCATGTTCTCTGAGGACAATAGTCAAAATTTATGTATTTGTTCTCTTCATTTCAAGTGTGTTACTGTAATAACCCTGATTTAATAAGGGCACGTACGTCATTAGAGAAAAAAAACAAAAATAATATTTGGGCTAATGCCCATTGCCGTGAATCAAAAAGAAACAAAAGAAGTTGGGATGGGAGCAAGAGATGGCACTGAAAGGAGCTTCGGACTTCAAACAATAACTGAAGGATTTCGGGAGGGGAAACGCAGCATTGGAGTAGAAGCTCTAACAAAGTTTCAAAAGAGCGAAAAAGAAAGGGTAGAATCAGAGAAGTAACAAGAACTTTTGGTAGTAACTTAAGAGGAAACCAGCACAGTTTTCGTAGTGGCTAGCGATCTTGCGCCTCAAGAGAGCCGCTCCCAGCATTGTTAGTTTATGTTTCGAGGTATTTTTATTCCATTGGCATGGGTATATATAGATTATCATGGTTAAATATAGTGATATTGGTAACCTGGATATGGTGATTTTCAAATTGAACGGGATATGAGACAACAACAACAACAACAACAATATTACCCAGTGTGATCCCATAAGCGGGGTCTTGGGTGGGAGGGGTGTACGCAAATATTACCCCTACCTTGTGTGAGGTAGAGGGGTTGTTTCCAATAGACCCTCCCCGCTCAAGAAAAGTGTCTTCAAAACAGGTTTGAAAAATACAGGAGTAAAATACTATTATGAAAATACTGAAGAGAAGGGAAGTATTGACAGCAAAAATAGTAAAGATAACCAAAGTAAAAGAAAACAGTAATGATAAAATTAAAAAATAAAGTAATAATAGAGTAATAATAATGATAGTAACAAAGAAGAGAGGGAGTGGATAAGGTGTTTTAAACTAGAATCATGCTCTCCTACAAAAAAGAGAAAAATCGCTCGACTACCTACTAACTTTCTACCCTAATCCTCGACCCCATGCTCTCCTATCTAGGGTCATGTCATTGGTGAGCTGACGATGTGCCATGTCCTATCTAATATCCTCTTTGAAAAATACAGGAGTAAAAGAATTTATTCTAAATAGATAAGTAATGGATCTGTTAGTTTATAACACCCTAGTGGAGAGATTGTGAGTGCTTGCAAAACACTGCAAGAAATACAGCAGAAGTATTGATTTCCCAAGCAATCAAATTCTTTTCTTTTTGCCCTTTATTGATGATATTAGCAATCTAAACATAACGACACAGATAGAAGCAAGAACTAACCAAATACTACTAAATTAGTTAATAGGCAGTTAATAGTCTTATCCGGACACAAATGTGATCAAACTTCGCATTCATTTTTCCTAGAAATCACAAACGGAAAAAATTAACATCAGACGGCATACAGAGAGAATTATAACTCCTATATCTAAGTTATAGAAGTGTCATTTGATAGCAGTCACCAAGTACAGACTGCTGACAACATGCACTGTTTAGAAACTTTAGCACTCAGATGCTATTTAATACATTTTAAAGTCTTCATGGACAAGATGAAGAGTTCTAGGACCCATTTTAACTCCATTTACAGTATGGAGAGAAGTACTGCTTATTATTTCTCCAAAAGTAATTAGGAGTTTCTAAAACTTCAACTCTCTTTTAATTAATCTTCCATTATTACGATTTCCTCAGCAGAAAGAGAAAACGCATACCAACTGCCCCATTGCCTGGACTATGTGCAGCTATATAAGAAAAACCAACATCTGGAAACAACCCGATTCCATTTTCTGGCATAGCTAGAACAGTCCTCTGAAACAATAATAAGAGGTATAAATAAGATCATAGTTGCAACAACGAGTAGTCTCCATACAAGGTGGGAAAATACCTCTGTGATAAGCCTGTAGCTACCGTGACCTGATAAGCCAATGCCAAAGCCCATTGTTATGCCATCCATGAAGCTGATGTAAGGCTTTTTGTACTCGAATATTTTACAAATCAGAGAATACTCTGCTGTGAATACCTGAACATAAAGAAGGAACACATATTTCAATTTTCTGAAAGGCCTACTGACAAACCCAGCTGCAGTATTCAAACTTCAAAACTGTGAGAAAGCACGGGAGAAAAATATATTATTGATATTCTATTCAATTATAATACAATGAGCCCTATTTATACAATACATATCCTACTCCTATTCTATGTGCGACTAGGACTAATTCACGTTATTTACATAACTATCTAACAAGAACATATCCATAAAAATTAATATATTTAGGCATCACACAAAAGGATTGCAAAACTGATATATGGTGTTGCAATCGGTGGAAGAACAAAAGTAGAGCAAGTCACAGACTCACTGTGGTGCTAAAGAGGTTCATAGCTGGAAATGTCTCTGAGACGGAGCATTAGTTTCCCTCTTTACATAGCACGCATGTTGTCAATGGCACATGCATATGTAAAATGAACAACTATAAATCAAAAGAAAAAAAATTGACAAGGAGATAAAAAACTTTATTTTCAAAGAGAAATTTTAGAAACATGACACACACCATCCAGTTGCGCACGATTAAGTGCAACTATCAACTCCAAGGATAAAAGCTAAAAGAAAAGCCCCAAATTTTAAAGAGGAAAAGCATTTCAAAGGAGAAAAAGCATATTCTGCATTCATAAAGTATCGGCTTGTGGAAACATGCATCACTTAATTAAGAACAGTACCATGAACTAATCACAAAACACCAACTAGACCTACTTAAAGAATGCAAAGTTATCAAATGGCTCAACATTGTTATTATAGGTCGGGCATTGAGGAGAAACTTTTGAATGTCCTGTGGCAGCCAAGTCATCATAAGCTTACTGCCACTTTACTTCAAAAGTTCAAGCTATGTAAAATTCATCTATGTTAGATATTTGCTGTAAATTCTGGTTGATGTGAATGGTCAGTGATGATTGACGAAAGCCTACATAACTTTAACCTTTCGAATCTAGCTACACCATTTGTCTCCATTGTGAATGAAATTACCTGATAAGCTATACTATTACTATTGGAATTATTAATAGATCAACAGGCAATCTACCATTTCACACTTTTCCCAAATCTTTTTCTCCCCAAAATTTTTTCCATACTTAAAAAGTTTAAAAAATGTAAGTCTAAGAGGTTTAGGCACAACCATCAGTCAATTAACTGATAGAAGGACAAACCCAGTTCTTATTCATAACAAAGGCACTTTCATACCACCTTATTAAGACCTAAACTAGAAAAGACATAGGGTATGCTGATTCTTTTTTTTTTTTTTTTTGGAGCTAGTGTATGTACATCTACTACCACAGTTTGTTATGATTTTGTGCATGTTAAAGGGACAAACGGCCTCATTTGTTTTTTTAAGATTAAGATGTCTGAATCTGAATATATATCTGAATGTTAAGATGTGTATTAAGATCAGAATACTAAATGATTAAGATTTTTTGTTTTTTTAATATCTGAATATATAAATTGATCTTTATTTAAAATTAATAAACATAAAATTCAAATAAAATACTAATTAGTCTAATATATATATATATATATATATATATATATATATATATATATGGTAGTCGGTGATGGTGGTGGCTAACGTAAGTGCTTGTGAGTGTCGACTAGAGGCGGTAGTTGGTGGTGATTTTGATTGATGGTGGTGGTTATGGGTGGCAGCTAGTGGTGATCGGTAGCGATAACGATTATAGTTGAGGATGGTGGTGGGTGGTGATAGTTAATAATGATGGGTGGTGGTGGTGGTGGTTGTGATTGAGAAAGGTGATTGTGGGTGATGGTAGTAGTGGTAGCAGCTATAGTGGTGGTGGTGGTGGTGGTGGATAATGGTACGCGGTGACGACAGTTAGTAATGAATGTGGATGATAGTATCTTAATAAAAATTAAGTCTTTGCTATAGATTTTAATCATATAGGTCTATTCAGACTCATTAAGTGGTTGTAAAGTAAAAAAAAACATACTTAATGATTAAGATTCAGACCTTGAAACAAACGCACTTAATATTTTAAATCTGAATGATTAAAATTCAGACCTCCATTAAGTGCAAACAAATGAGACCTAAAGGACCTTAATCTTATCTGACTGCCATTTTTTGGCCAAACCTAGCTTGATCACAACTGCAGGTAAACTCACTAACAGATTTAACAATCACTAACAGTTCTGTTATGCATCAGCATAGCAGCATCACCTTGGCAAGACAATATCGTCAAATGAAACTACAAACAACAAAGACTAAGCTACAGAGCAGAAGAGAATGACATGATGAGTTCAATTATAGGGTAAATCTCATAATGTGAGAAAACCTTTTGCACAAGAGGTGTACTTTTGTCCTTTTGAATTTCAGCAACAACCCCCTTAATATCCATCCCTGCATCAGCAATGAATGGTTACCCACAAATCTTACTAGAAAGTGTCAAACTATGTATTGTAACTGCGGATAGGAGGCTCTATCAAAAATGAGTAATGATGTAATGACAAGACTGTTTCAGGAACTAGATGCCGCAAATATGCCAGATAAGAAAGTAGCAAGTATCCATCCAGTAAATGAATGACTTTTGACTTGTAACCTGCTGAAAAAGCACGAGCCGAGCTACTCTCAACCAAAATACACTTGACCTTTGGGTCTGTTTTCCACTCATCCAGGAAACCCTTGTACTTGATGTCCATATCTGAGTCATATATCAATGAAGCATGAGTTAAACAGAAATCAAACTACTTAGATGAAGATGCAGCATATTAATTCTCATACTTCTAAGAAAAATAATAATGTCTAGTAATTATCGTATTCTGATTTTTCCTCCTTTAATTCTTGTCCTACGTACTTGAAAAAAATATGCAACAACAACAGCCCAGTGAAATCCCACAATGGAGTCTAGGGAGGGTAGTGTGTACGCAGACCTTACATCTACTTCGGAGAGAGGTTGTTTCCGATAGACCCTCGGCACAAGAAGATGGAACGAGACAGTGTAGCAGTAACAACAAAGGAATCCAAAAAGATAACACCAGCAACGTAATAACCAGAAAATAGAGAGAAAAGCAATAACAATGGCATAGTACTACAGACGCAATGGAATAATATGGACACAACAAGAGCCACTAACATCCTACGACAAAACACTACCAGACTAGCTTCCTACAACCTAACTTACAACCCTAATGAAGTACTAAGGACACAACTGGAGCCACTAGTAGCCTAAAACAAAACACTATCAGACTAGCCTCCTATCTCCTAACCTACATCCTTAATGCTCGACTTCCACAACTTCCTATCAAGGGTCATGCATCATAATACTAATTAAACATGCATGAGTGTCAAAAACAGAATCTAAATTTAATCTTGGCCATGTTGTATAGCATATATATTCACCAGTGGAAATTACATTCTACACTTCTGTATCAAAGTCATGTCCTCACTTTTAAAATCATCGAAAGAGTATAGATTTTTGCTTCAAATGTTGTTAGTATTCTTAGTATATTCACATTTTATTGGAACAAGAACAAGCTAATGAGCTTTGATCTACTCTAAAAAAAAATTATGTTTCAGGTTAAAGTCCTACATATCCTAAAAATCAAGTATGAGCTATCTTATTTCATTGGAAAATTTGTGTTTTTCCATGTGAGGCTTAATGGAATTGGCTTTTGTTAGTACTTATTTTCTATAAGGAGCTCTACGAGTTCATTACTCAGATGATCATCCAACTATTCAAAATTATAGAGTAAAGTCACTTTTCTTCTGTTTGTAATATGAAAGTCACTCAACTATTCTTATTGCACACGAATGGTCACTCAACCGAAATTATCAAACTTTCCAATGAAAAATGTGACATGGCAGTCCACATAGACTTTTTATATTCTTCGACCAAATAAAATAATTAACACACAAACAAAACATAGAAAACCCACCCATACACCCAACCCGGCCCACTAAAAATAATAATTCATCCGCTAAATAAAACGAAACGCTAAAACACATCCATGTTGCAAATGTATCTTTCTTCTTCTTATAAAAAGCAGATTTGTTGTATGATTTTACTCTAGTTTTATAAAATAATAATTGGTACGAGGTTAAGGACTAATTAAGGACTAGAGTGACACGATGTCTCCGTCGCTGACGTTCGTCAAGCAGGCCACGTGGATTGGCCAGGGTCTTCTTCGGCTAATGAGACCTCGATCCCGAAGCCTTCGAAGTATCTTTTTGATAGGTGCCTCTATTTGTATGGGGAATTCGCTACTGATACATCTCGCCCAGTGTCCCCCTCCTTCCCCTGCCAATTGGACAGCGTCATCTTCGTTTAGTTTACTATTCAACGTCCCCCAATCCCTAGTTGTACAGGTACAGCCCAGAAGCTTCCTCTTTCATATTGATGAAAGCGCTAGGCACCTCTTAACAGTTCAAAGTCCCCCCCTTGGCTTACCCAGCTTTTAAGGTGAGAACAGCGGATTCAATATCAATAGCTGAAGGAGACTTCGATCATTCAACTTTAGCTTCTGAAGGAGGAATCATGTCACTTGGAATTTCGGAAATGTAAGGATGCATATGGATACGAGCGCATGCAGTGATAGCCGCCGACATCTGAACTGCTGCTATCCTTGGCGGCCTCCACTCCGCGTCTGGAACCCGTTCTGTATTAGTCTTATAGGCAACAATGTAGTATTCATCGCTAAGCTTCTCCGTATTCTTCTTTTTTCAATGACCTGTATGCTTCTTTTTCACGATTTTTCTTCTACGTTTTATAAAATAATAATGGATACGAGATTAAGGACTAGAGTGAAACCATGGATACAAACGAAAGAAAAGTGACTTTAGTCCATAATTTTGGATAGTTGACTGATTATCTGACAAATGAAACCCGAGTTCTACTGTAATACATACTAAAGTAACACAGAAATTTACTAAGCTTCCTTTCTGGCCTTGCACTTCTCCCATTGCACCCTCATGCTCTAATACACTCATTCTAGATGGAATATCAAACTAATATTTTTCAAATTTAATTCCATCCCCTTTATTACCGTAAGTCGTCAAACAATCAATCTATCACACAATCACAAGTCACTTGTCTGAACTGAAATTATGAATCTATTTTCTTACTAGTTTGGATGATTTCTAGGAAAAGAAGAACCATTATAATAACAAATTATAGTAAAACTGAGGTGAAATTTGAGTAACTTATCAAAGAAAAAGAAGTGAAAATTGACCAAGGTTCATGGCATTGAGAGCTTTAGGACGATCGAGAGTGAGAACGGCAACGCCATTGGGGTGGATATGTCCTTTCACGAATTCGTCCGCGCCGGAGGCCATCATCAATTCGTATGGGAGAAGGAATTAGGTATTAGGGAGAGAGAGCGGTGGCTCGACCTAGATATTTGACTTACTTTTCAAAGAAAGCCTACTTTATGTACTGAACAAAGTAAGCCCGTTCAAATACTAAGATCATTTATTATTTTACGGGTGACATCTGTGGGTCCCTTTTTTATTTATCATAATTTTTTTATTTTACTTCTTTTACTGTTTCTTCTGCATATTTTAGCGCTGCGCGCCGTCACACGGGGAAAATCCCAACCATCACCTAAGTGCGAGTGTTGAACTTGTTTTAAGTGATTTTTAAATCAAAATAATTTTTAAGTTTGGAAAAGGGTCATATTTATTTTTGTACTCTTTAAAAATAGTTATATTTGTCCTTATACTTTTTTGATATATTTATCCTTACTATTATACTTTAGGATCATATTTATCCATGTACTCTTCAAAGAGGGTTACATTTGTCCTTCGTCATACTTTTTGACATATTTATCCTTATACTTATACTTTAGGATCATACTTGCCCCTCATCCATTAAATCCCCATATCACACCTTTGTTTTCCTACATGGTGCCTATGTGGATTTATTTTTCCTCCAATTTAAATATGGTCAACTATTTAAGATAATTTAATCCGCCCACCCAATTTAAATATGGTCACCTATTTAAGATAATGTTCTTTTTCAGCCCCATATTTTTCGGATAGCAGCGGCAACATATTGGCAAACAAGAACTTTGAACTCAAAATCACTAATCTGATACAGCTTACAATTATTGCAGTAACCAAATTAAATTACGAGAAGTTGCACAACAATAGAATTAATGACAAAGGTCCGTGCTTAAAATAGAGCACTGCCAGAAGCCTAATATTGTCTAGGATGGTTTCCTCAAACATATTTTTTCTCGAAAAGAAAATATTGCTCCCTCCTCTCATTTTATATGAAAGAATTCGATTACAAGGGTCAAAACATCTAGTTTTTTTTGTGATTTGGGTATATAATTTTCATGTTTTTCAAAAATAAAATAAAATTACATATTTAAAAAAGTATATCTAAATAATTCAACTTTTTTGGATGGCAGAGTCATGATTTAAAGTTTATGGGTTCTGATCTTGCTCATAGCTCATTTTAGTTATTAAGTTCGTAATTAAATATTTATACATATTTAATGTATTTCCTAATAGAACACAAATCTAAACAAAAGCTATAGAGTTCATTCAAACCATACCTAATACTCTAGCTCCACCCCTTATCTTCGACCTGGTTTAACATAAACCTACAATGACGAATAATATTAGAGTAATGTGAATTATCAGAATGAAGCCACTATATTTTATATATTGGCTGCCCAAAGACACAAATAAGTGCAGACAACCAAATTATGGTTTATGGTTTATGGTTAAATTAAATTATCTTAAATAGTTGACCATATTTAAATTGGAGGAAAAAGAAATCCACATAGGCACCATGTAGGAAAACAAAGGTGGGACATGGGGATTTAATGGATGAGGGGCAAATATGATCCTAAAGTATAAGTGTAAGGATAAATATGTCAAAAAGTATGACGAATGACAAATGTAACCCTCTTTGAAGAGTACAGAGATAAATATGATCCTAAAGTATAATGGTAAGGATAAATATATCAAAAAGGTATAACGAAGGACAAATATAACCATTTTTAAAGAGTATAGGAATAAATATGATCCTTTTCCGTTTTAAGTTATAAGTTAGGAATTCTAACTTTTGGCTTTTGGTTTGTTTTTGTTATTTTAGAGCCCGTTTGGCTTGGCTGATTTAGAGTAGCTGATAAGTATTACGTGCTGAAAAATACTTTTAAATGTTGAAGCTGATTTAAAAAATAAGCAGTTACGTGTTTGGATAAAAGTGCTGAAATTATTAATAAGCAGTTGAAGTATTAGGTATACGAAGAGTTTTGTTTTAAAAAGAAGTATTTTAGGGATAGAATAGTAAATATTTTGGTCAAACCTAAAGTGCTTATAAGCTAAAATTTGATAAGTTGAGGTAGACCAACTTATGGTTTTTGGCTTATAAGCACTTAACTTATAAGAACTTTTAATTTTACCAAACTCGTAGATAAGCCAAAAAAGTGCTTATAAGCCAGTTTGACCAGCTTATAAGCTTAGCCAAACACCCTAAAAATAAGTGCTTAAAAGTATTTTTTTACTTTATCCAAACACTACAAAATAGCTTAAAAGTACTTAAAACAAGCTAATACAAATGGGCTCTGCATCATTCAACCATGGACTTCCATAAAATCCATTTCATCTTTCACTTCTAACAATATCTATAAAATTCATACCTAAAGTCAAAGAGTCGATGGGCCACCTGCTAAATTCCGTCAAGGCAAAAAAGAGCCGACGAAGCTATGTCAAAGAAGGACATGAATGGTGAAATCCAAAAGAGAGAAGAAGTCGAACTGCATAAGTAGAATTTTTCACCCAAAATTCGTCAATTTTTAATGATCTTTCTCTTTTCTCTATCTGTCTTCCAGTTTGAGATGGATACAAAAAGGAGAGAGGAAATATATGTGAGAGAAAAGATTGATTAGAAAATTTTGACGAAATTTATTGCTTTTCTCACTACTGCTGCCTGGGTTTTGAACTAAAAGAGGAAGAAGTGGGGAAAGATTGGGGTGGGGGGGAGAAAGAAAATGAGGAG